GTTATAGTTTTTGCTGTGTTGTTCAAGTGGCCGGATTGCCCTAGAAACCTCGAAAGGTTTTTAAACTACTCCATTTTTCCTCCGTATCGTTTGCACTCTAAACGTCGTCGTTTTAACATTTAATGCGATTTTAATTTTAACCCTCCGGAAGGGGGAAAGTGGGAATATTTAACCTCGGGGGGTGAAATGCGGATTATACGAAAGTTTAGGGACGAGAAGAGAAAATAATGTTTGTCACACTACAAGGTAGATAAAATCATAAATCTTAATGCCAACTTTGAAAGAAAGAACAAAGCATGAGGTTTGTTTTATCAGATGTTCGTCCTTAGTAAGGAACAAAAGACAATGTATGTCTGGTTTAGAAAAAAAACAGAGAACACACAGATTAAAGATGTGTATTAAGGTTTTCAGAAATCCAAAGAAAAAAACATAATTCAAACTAAGTTTTTTTAATTAAAAGTCATCTTCTTTCCTTGCATTTGATTTCAGCTTTTCAACACAACTGAATCGTTTCCACAGAAGAAGCTCCATCAATGGCCTACTCACACACACAACAACAACAAATCAGAATCAACAAGCTCAGAGACTAAAACAATAGGAAGATATAGATGGGTTTTAAAGCAATTGTACCTGTTTCTTTTGCTTGATCTTCTTATCTCTGATGATCTTTTGTCTTGTTTCATAGAACTTGAAATCATCAAGTATACATGTCTTGCTCATATACTCCTTGAAGATCTTTATGATTTTGATTCCATGTTCTAGATTCACCTGCACGAAAAACCATGACCGTTTTTTGATTGGAATTCAAAAAGGTTCAAGTTTTCACTTCAATCATGTTTTAAGGAGGGTTGTTGTTGAAGGGAAGTTTAACGAACCTCTTGTGTGTCTCTGCTATTAGTGACGGGCTTGTTGTCGTTATTCACAAGCGTTATGTGTCTCAAGAGACTGTTTGGTACGTCTTTGATTATATGCCACTTCACAGGGAAGCAACCAATCCATTTATCTTGTTGCCAATACTCCATTGTTTTGTTGAAATCAACAGGACCTACCATCTCCGCAAGACCGACAAATTGCCCACTTGCATTCACCTGCAGATAAAACCGGTTAAAATCGAATTAACTAACATAAATCTAAAGGATATATTGCATGAGCCGTGAAGTTTCCTCATACTGACCGAGAATAGAAGATACACAGGACATTCTTGGGAACTCTCTTTGGCTTCATAATATGCAGCATTCAACTTCTTGTTGCCAGTTGGTGTGCTCGACCACGCGCCATACTTTATACTGTTATGAACATCATCTTCGCTGTAGGACTTTATCACAAAGAATTTCGCTCTCGTGAATGTTTCAGGGAAAGTATCCCCGTTGTAGCAGCGCAGGAGATCTATCGCTGAAACGTCTTCCTTCATTGTCTCTAGCATTGTAGAGTTAAGACCTTGAGGATTCTTGAAATCAGTACTCCTTGGTCCTCGACAAAGCTCATTAAGCCTATCTGCTTTCTCTTCACTATAACTACGCCCGTAATTGAAGCTTCTGGTCTTTCTATAACCATCAACAGGATACCAACCTCGCCCATGTTTCCAGGAATCATAACCAAAAGTTCCATATGCATGACCAGAGTCGATTACATTCCCGTAAAGTCCATACAATCCATTGTTGGAATACAAATGATCGTTATATCCAAATTGGTCAAAACTCAGGGCTTCTCGTGAGCTGTGTGGATTCTGAAAATAAAACAGTTGAAACCAATTGATAGATGAATAATCCCAAGTCCCAACATAGAGGCGGAAGAAAAAAAAAACATACATTCTCTTGAGTATAGAAAGACATATAAAACGCTGTCAGGTCTTGCAAGATAACCAACATACCATGAGATGTGAGAAGGTATTGTGATCGCTGTTGTGGTCATAACCGAACCTCGGATCCCGGTAGCCACCAGAAGAATAGTTTGCTGGCATATAACCCCACGGGTAAGAACCAGTTGAGTCTCCACCATGTAGCAGACTACCAACATTCATATTAGGCCTTCCTTCTCTTCCATGAGAAGATGCACCATAAGGTACATGAGCATACTGGTGCTGAAAAGAACCCTTCTCCCACAAAACACAATCGATTAACAAAGAGAAAACGCTCAAATGGTATACTGAATCTTACATAAACTAAGCAACAAGACCTCCAAAGAACAATTCACCGTTTAAGAACCTTTGCCACAGCACAATTTAAGTTCAAAGACTCATAATTTCAAAACAGGAAGCAAGCAAGTACCTTATTACGGTTCCTAGGGACATCACTTGCATCTGAACCTAAAGACAACTCCTGAAACAAATCTTCTGTTTCTGCACAGATTTTAAACAAGAGCCAAGTTAGTATTTCTAATAACAAAGCCTCAAAATCCAATTGCATAGTCACTAATGAAATTCACCCCATAGGAAGAGCAAAACTAACTTTCTCTATCATTTACCTTCCCAATCAGATTGCGGACACTAATCTGTCGATAATAGACAACCTACGATACCAACCCAATACTACTAACCTCGTTTGTTCATGATATTCAAGTTCGAAACAGACAACCCAAGGAGCAAATCAATCGCACAAAATGTAACTTCTAATACCAAAAAATCCTATCTTTGAATCAAACTGAACATACCCAGAAGAGGGAAGTTAGATACGAGACGATCAGAAGAAGCGGCTCCAGCCATGTCCGAGAGAGAAGCAAATCAGAGAAAAAGGCAAAAGCTTTAAAAGGAGGAAAACCCTAGAACTTTGGACAAATGAAGCAAAACGCAACCTCGAAAAACCCAGAGAGTCTCTCTTCGGGGGGGTTTATGAGAAAAGTTGCTTTCTTTTTTGTTTCTTCGTCTTCCCTTTAACGTAAGGCGGTGATCTTTAACAAAGAACAAATACCCAAATGGGTAAAATTCACGATGAATTCTAAGCGACAAAAAAAAACTAAAACAGAAGATCAATTTTTTTTTCCTCCTTTAAACCAAAAAGATAAGGCTCTCTTCTTAATGACCAATTTTTCTTCACACAATCACACGAGAAGATTCTGAAAATTGACGTTGATTGCTTTTAATTAGAGGCTTTTAATAATTAAAGAGTAACAAATCAAAAGAGCAATTCATCACAAAACCATTGCTAAGTGCAAACTTATGTTTTTTTCTGAATGTCCCTCGGTGTTTTGTTTAAATTCGATGCCTTCCACACTTTTTGTTTAAGTGCAATTATCATGAATTCCATTTGTTTAGGATAATCCTAATCTCTTATCTTATGTACTGGAGAAATGATTTGTGAGAGATGTTTATGTGTCATCTCCACAATTATTCTTACTAAAATAATGTGACATGGCTTGAAAATAATGTGACATAGCATTTTTGAATCAATAACAAAATATTCTACAAATAAATGTATATATGTTTCCATAAATAAATTAAAAGAGTTTTTAATCAATATTTTATGAGATTTTCGTTTTTTCATTTCAAAATTATATATAAATTTTCGTTTCTCATCTAAGAATAGTTTAAAAATTGATTATTGTAATAATAAAAAAAACTAGAACATTTTTATAGAATATATATTCTTTTCTCAATTAATATTCTAGAACATTTTTATAGAATATATATATATTCTTTTCTCAAATAATAATAAATTTTTACCAACTTTTTACAAGAGTGTTTGATATGTTTTGTGAAAACAACTTCCCAAATTAATAATAACAACCATAATTATTTTTTTGAAAGGTTTTCTAACACAGTACATTTTGAAAGTAATAAAAACATTATTAATTTGAAAGTAACAAAAAACCATTTTTAATCCGTGTTTCATTTATCAAAATTTATGATTATATATTTTAATGTTTTAAAATATTAAATAATTTATTTATATTCTAAAATCTATTTAAGATATTCGGACAAGCCAAATTTAATATAATTTATACCTATGATACAATTTAAATCAATATGAGTTGTACATATTTATTTAACAGATAAGTACTCTTTAAACTGTTGTTCTGAATC